GCAGGCGTCGATTATGGGCACGATGTTTGAAAGCACAATGGCGGTAACCCCGCTTGATTCTATCTCCCGTCCCGTCGGCCACTCCGCTGTACTACGCCGATGTGCGGCTGACGTTGCGGGAGTGGTTGGACGCGTGACATTTTGTCAGAGAAGTCGGTCGAGACGGAGGCGACGAGGTTGTTGCTGAGCCGGCCTCGAGTGAGTCAGAGAATCGGTGACCCGTCTGAGGCCGTGCGGGGCGGGGCCTCGGGCGAGAGGGCCTCGGCAAGGCAGAGAGTTGGGAACCCGTACGAGGCCTAGCGGGGTGGGCCTCGGGCGAATCGGAGAATCAGCCGAGACCTCGTGATCGTCCTTTGGCATTGATATAAGCAAGGCCTAAGGAATCTTTTCGGTTCTTGCTTAGGGTACCCCTTTTTATGGTATCCGACAGTAGCCCCCGAGCCTCGGGGAGGCCTGAGGTTTTGTCAAGATTCTGGCTTGCAGCGGCTCCCGTCGGGATTGTGTTTTGTACTCGTGGTTCCGGTGGGTGCGCGCGAGCGCACCCATCGGGTGTAGCTCCCGAGGCCCTAGAGGAGTGGATTTACTCCTCTAGGGGCTTTTTCTCTATTGAGTAAGGAGTTTTATCACGTTTGTCGGGCCCATGAGTACGAGTTTGAGTCGTTGGACCTTGGCTTAGTTGCAGGAAGAGCCCCCGAGCCTCTACACTGAGCGAGAGGGTGATCGGTGGTTTCCCAGTCTTTTTTGGCGGCCCTCGCGCATCATTTTCGCTCGAAAGGAGGGGTGGAGCATGCCAAGCTACCCTCGGTGGACGCAAGCAGTGACATCTCCGGTGAGCTGTTATCGGGTCAGTCCAAGTGGAGGTCCATGCCCCATTCGATAGGGGTCAGCTAGCGGTCCAGAGACACACTCCAAAAGTTCCAGAGGGCCTCTCTAGTGGGTCCTAGGGCCGTTCGATAGGTCCCAGGGGCTCGATACCTCCCTATAGTGGGATCCCATTCAGAGACCTCCTGTCGGTCTCGGACATGACTTAGGGCTTCCCAAGCACTTGCTTGCTTGGGCATTGGCCATGTACGGGCTTGCCCACAGTCATCCCTGACTCTATTTGTCCTGGGGTGGCTATCAAAACCTTTGGGGGGCCCAGCCTTCGAACCCCTGGATCGTAACGGGCTCGGTGCCCTTTTTATCGTGTTTTTCCGAGACTCTGAGTGCGAGCTTGGGTTGCTTGTTTTCGTTCTGGGTGCAGGAAGAGCCCCCGAGCCTCTGCACGGAGCGAGAGGGTGGTCAGGAGTTCCCCTGGCTTTTGTGCGACCCTCGCGCATCCTTTTCGTTCGGAAGGAGGGGTTGTTTGCCGAGCCCTCGAGTGCGAGCCTAGGTCGCTGGGTCTCGACAAGGTGGTAGGAAGAGCCCCCAAGCCTCTGCACGGAGCGAGAGGGCGATCAGGAGTTCCCCTGAATTTTGTGCGACCCTTGCGCATCCTTTTCGTTCGAAAGGAGGGGTTGTTTGCCGAGCCCTCGAGAGTGCGAGAGCCTGGGTCATTTGGGTCCGGCAAGGTAGCGAGGAAGAGCCCCTGAGCCTCTTGCGGAGCGAGAGAGGCGATCGGGGAGTTCCCCGCTTTTGTGCGACCCTCGTGCATCCTTTTTGTTCGAAAGGAGGGGTTGTTTGCCGAGCCCTCGAGTGTGAGCCTGGGTCGCTGGGTCTCGGCAAGGTAGCAGGAAGAGCCCCTGAGCCTCTACATGGAGCGAGAGGGCGATCAGGAGTTCCCCTGGCTTTTGTGCGACCCTCGCGCATCCTTTTTGTTCAGAAGGAGGGGTTGTTTGCCGAGCCCTCGAGTGCGAGCCTGGGTCGTTGGGTCTCGGCAAGGTCGCAGGAAGAGCCCCCGAGCCTCTGCACGGAGCGAGAGGGCGATCAGGAGTTCCCCTGGCTTTTTGTGCGACCCTTGCGCATCCTTTTCATTCGGAAGGAGGGGTGGAATATGTGAGGCTACCCTCGATGGGCGCGAGCGGTGACACTTCCGGCGAGCTGTTATCGGGTAAGTCCGAGTGGAGGCTCGTGCCCCATTTGATAGAGGTTGGCTAGTGGTCCAGAGACGCACTCCAAAAGTACCAGAGGGCTTCTCTAGTGGGTCCCAGGGCCGTTCGATTGGCCCCGGGGGCTTGGAGCCTCCCTACGGTGGGATCCCATTCGGAGACCTCCCTGCCAGTCTCGGACACGACTTAGGGCGTCCCGAGCGATCGCTTGCTCGGGCCTCGTTCATGTACGGGCTCACCCATAGTTGTCCCTGACTCTGTTGTCCTGGGGCGGCTGTCGAGACCCTCGGGGGCCAGCCTTCGAACCCCTGGACCGTAACGGGCTCGGGGCCCAGTTCCTTAGTCCAAAAGGAATCGGGTGGGGGGATATTCCCCTCCCATCGGCTGACAATGGCGGGTGCGCCTTTTGAGGCGGTTTCTCGGGGCCTGCTGTTGCTGCGGTTGGATGCGACGCGGTGTCAGCAGATGAGACATAACTGTTCGTGCGATTAACGGGGAAAAGGTGGGCGCGTGGGCGGTTAAATCGGATCTGGATTATCTGTGCCGGATTTGAGGGTAACTTCCCCGATTTCATCGCCCGTCCGTTTCATCCCCTTCCTGCATAAATACGCAATGAGCCTCGCCCCTCCCCTCCTTACCTTGCCTGCATTCGCTTTTGCTGCCCTCAAGCCGTTGCTAGGATCAGAAAGCAACGGGGAGAAGAAGGGAGAAGGGCGAGGGAGAGAGATATTTAGAGAGAGAGAGAGAGAGATTTACCGTCGTAGCAGCATCCTCCATCACGCAATGGCCGGCGTCCCTATCATCCTCCCGGCGGATCCTTGGGATCCGTCCAATGTGTCCGTGGAGATGTTGCGGTCGCTCGTCGACGACAGCCTTCTCCGCCCGATCACTGACCCCGATACGCCGGAGTGGATTGCTCCGTTGAGCGAGCCAGAGCCGAGGCCACACGAAGGGTACGTCGTGAGCTTCATGTCTTTCCACGAGCGTGGTCTCGGCCTGCCGGCGGACCGATTCATGCGGGCGCTCCCGCATTACTACGGCGTGGAGCTGCACAACTTCAACCCCAACTCCATCGCGTAGGCGGCGATCTTTGTCACTGTCTGCGAGGGGTACTTGGGCATTGCCCCCCATTGGGAGTTGTGGCTCCATCTCTTCCGGGCAGGGCATACCACCAAGCCGACGGGTATGATGGGTATGAGGAAGATGATGAGGGCCAGCGGCTGCACTCTTCAGGTGCGCCAAGACCGGCAGCACCTTTACATCCTGGCCCAGCTCGCGTCAACCAATCGCCGCTGGTACACAAGCTGGTTCTACCTCCGCAACGATGACAGCGGACTTCCCCCTATACCGGGCGGATCATGGAGGACTGTCAGGAGAAGTGGAGGTAGTGCAAGGAATACAAGATCGATCTCTTAGACTGGATGTAGGGCACCGATTGCCTGAACCAGTATAAACCTTGTGTCTCTTTACATCACCATCCGGGATTAGGGGCACGCAGTTCAAATTCACTAGTTGGTTGAGGACCCCCCGGTCCAAAACACCGATAGTTGGCGCGCCAGGTAGGGGGTTTCAAGCTGGGCAAGAGAGGGAGCTAGTCCCAGGTCTCTGCGTGGATCGGTGTGGGCTGCTTGAGACGTTGCTCTCAGGCAGCGGGGGAGCGTGTGTCTGAGTCTACGTGAGCCTATGCGAGTGTTCGTCTGTCTTCCTCCCTTTTAGAAATGGCCCCGGTCTCTCCTTTTATAGTTGAAGGGGGGACAGGGGTGATACATGTGTTCGCTATGCAGCGTCTTGTGAGCGGAGGTGGCGTGCCTGAGTCCTGTAGCTTACCACTGTGGCGGTATGGTCAACGGAGCGACCTTGTCCTTGATGCACTAGAGCAACGCGCCGGTCACACCTGATCCTATGTGACGTGGGAGCTCTAGTGATAGCTTGGCGCAGGGCATGGCCGACGACGTGCCGGTCGCTGTGCGTTGATAGTGAAAAGAGCCGAGGCTCAGTTGGTGCCGAGGCCGAGCTATCGTGGGGGGCTCGGTGGGCGTGAATCCCGAGGCTGCCGAGACCCTGAAGTGGATTGCCGAGGCTTGGATGGAGCAGTTGGTACTATACACTGATTCCGAGCCTATAGTGACCCGTACTTGACTCCCCACGCCGCGTTGTTCCTGGAGCAGGAATTAGGTAGCACAGTGCGGTACGGGCGTCAGTTATGGGCATAGTGCCGAGCACAGTGGCCGGTAACCCCTACCCAGTCCTGTCTCCTATCCTGTCGGCCACTCCGCTGTACTGCGCCGACGTGCAGCTGACGTTGCGGGAGTGGTTGAACGCGTGACGTTTTGTCAGAGAAGTCGGTCGAGACGGAGGCGACGAGGTTGTTGCCGAGCCGGCCTCGAGCGAGTCAGAGAATCGGTGACCCGTCTGAGGCCGTGCGGGGCGGGGCCTCGGGCGAGAGGGCCTCGGCAAGGCAGAGAGTTGGTAACCCATCCGAGGCCTAGCGGGGCGGGCCTCGGGCAAATCGGAGAATCAGCCGAGACCTCGTGATCGTCCTTTGGCATTGATATAAGCAAGGCCTAAGGAATCTTTTCGGTTCTTGCTTAGGGTACCTCTTTTTATGGTATCCGACATATATATATATTCTATATATTATCCAGGGTATTGAACAATAATCAGTACCCGACGAGCCAAGCCAGAATCACCGAGCCCAAACTACCGGACCGACCCAACCCACGGGCGCTCCCCCGCGCCCGCCTCCTCTAGTCTAGTACAGGAGTATCATAGTATATGCAGTTTTTTTTCCGTTCCATTCTAATTTCGAGATCGTGGGAAGGAGTCGAGGAGACGCCAGTTTTGCCCAGCTCCACCTCGCCGCACGAGCCCAGCTCGCCACCACCTACGCCGCACGAGCCTACCTTCTGCGCCGCCGTCTCCTCTGAGGATAGCCACGGTCAACGAGCAGCGATAGCAATGGCTCCAGGCATCTCACGTGGCCGCGCTGTAGGCTCCCAGGCGGTCGAGCGAGCGGCAGCGCCGGCGAGCTCGTGGAGGCAACGACGTTCTCCCATCGTCAGAGATTGGGAAGGCCACCTTGCTCTTGACGTTAAGGAGCGCCGTCGGCACCTGATCCACGATGCGCTGTTGTGGCCTCGAGCGGCGAACATAGTAGGCGCTGCAGATCCAGTCGGCAGTAGGCAAGGTGGCCAGCCCGGCAGCAGGCAGGAGGCCGAGCCCCCTTAGATCCCGTCGGTAGCAGGCAGGAGGCCGAGCCACCACGCCCCCTTGCGAGCTTCGAGTGGGATGAGGAGCGAGTAGATCGACAAGGTGCGCCCTTTCCTCCTCCCTTGCTCGATCCCTTCCTACCTCCATCCATCCCTTGCTCAATCAAATGTCTGCCTGCCCATGGCTATTTGTCTCGATGCCATCTTTTGAACGACCTAAACCTGTTTGCATTTGCGTTGGATGCAGGTGTGTAGAAAGCAGGGGAATTCATTGCAGGCGCCACATCTAGAGTAGGGCACGGGATTTGAAAAACAGAAGATGATTTCGATCTAATTGGGATCCGCTGCCTCTTGGAGTTTGAAGTGGCAAGGCGCTGCGTTGGGAGTGCTGGTGTCCAAGGCAGCACTAGCATAAGCAGGAGAATTCATTAATGAAATGTGTAATTCAGGTATAATAGAGAGAACCCCGTCCTACTATTTTGATTTTGTGATGTATTAGTTCATTCCCAAGCTTAATTTTCTAGATTATAGACCTTGGAACTACTGTTGTGTTCCTGATTGATGAGGTGTAGCAATTTTGGTTGCATGCTAGGTGCTCGAAAAAAATTCCATTAAAATTATTTATGAGATTTATTTTTGGAGATGCAGGCTTGATTTGTGTTGGTATTTGACTCTTAGTTTGATAGTATCATCCCATTTTGTTTCATATTTCCTAGGATTGACGGTCATATTGTTTACAAACTCTTTATCAACTAGACATTTCATCCTTTTTATCTGCATATATATCTTATAATGCTTAGCTCTATTGCAGATTGCAAAATACATCTTGGTCGGTTGCATTTGGAAGATGACATGCCCCATGTTATTTAAATGAAATATTTTTGATTTTATGTATCTTGAAATCATTCCAAGCTTAGCAATGGGACTGCTTGTTAGGCAAAGCAGTGATGTTTTTAGTTTTGTTTGGGAAGCATGATTGCCTGTTTGGCATGGTTGGCCTATGGTGGTGTTTGGTCCAACTTTCTCTTGGAGAATATGGAGTAGTTTGTGCGCAGTACTGCCGAATTCAGAATGTGGATGCCTGATGTTCTAGTTCTTTACCTGGCTTGGATCTTGTATTTGTTGGTTTTTACTTGCATAACAAAAATTGGCCCATTTTTTCAAAATAGGGCTTGGAAGTTAGAAGTACCTAGTGTATACAATAGAAATACTGATATATACAAACACTGGAATTAGAAGTTTGTTTGACTTATCTCCTCTGCTATCATTCAAGTTCAAGGTGAGATTGATGTCTAGAGTTTAAGAACAAGCAGGCTCCTTATCTCCATCTTTGATCAACCCATGAACTATCTATATTTGGATTTATTCTCTGAATTTTCATGAGTTCTAGCTTATGTGTGAATTTGATTTCTACATCGCATGACTTACTTGACCTTTTGCGGGTACAGTTTTCTTGAACTGGTTTGTGATTTTGTTTCACTGAAACTATTTGTAAAAAAACCTACGATATGAGACTGCCTGCCAATAGTAGCATCTGATCCCCATCAAGTCCGGTTGTATCGGTGGCTTCTCCCACCACCAAACTACCAAAGATGCATCTAGTCCTCCAAGTTGTCTTTCCTTTTGTTTTCTTCGCTTGTCTTGTTTGGACATGTTGTTGAAAACACCACCATTGTTTTCAGCTTACCTTAAAAACGGCACTATTTAGTTTTTTTTTTTCAGCCGGAACATTGTTTTTCTCTCACAACAATTCAGCCAGAACAGTGTTTTTTAGCCAATTTCAGCCAAGTTTCAGCAAGTTGAACGGGGTGTCTTCTACACGGTCGTTATTATCCCTTGCATGTGCACCTGCGCTGTTTTCTTGCCTGCAAGCGAAGAGTGGAGGTGATATAGAATTTGTTATGATAGTACTCCTTGCATTTAGCTAAATGCTTTTTGGTCAAATATGGCTTTGGTAGTCGGCCTAGTCTTACCTTTTTTTATGATGCTTGTAAAATTCTGCAGCTAATCACGGGCATTGCAGGTTCATCATATAATACTCATTGGTCGAGGTACAGTTTTAGTTGGCAATTAGCATGTATGTCTTTGCCACTTTTTCATAAACCATTTACTGGCATGTATCCTCACAGCGTAGCGCTTAGGTAGGATCCAAATGAGGTGATTAGTGATGTATCTCAGTTCTCAGTTTAACAATACGAGCCATGTTGAACTGCCTAGTGCTTATCAAATTAACTTTAATGATCACTGAGCACTGTGATATGTAGCTACTAAGAATTGCAGGCCTAAAACTAGTAGTATAATAATACTGCCATGCTCAATTTGGACATGTCATTCTCAAAGTGATTATAACCCTACAAAGTATAATGAGCTTACAGACACTGAGTGAATTTTTGTGGCGGTCATGGCATTAACAATCTGTCCCAACACTTAAAGCTTATGGCATTGGATTTATTTGTATGTGATGCAAAGGATTTTATAATGCAATGGCAATGTTGCACCCATAAAAGCTCATTCTTTATGATTGATGTGCACAATATTTTATGGAAACCAAGTATTACTGGAACATACAACAGCTGGTCTGCATACAATGCTTTTTTCCTTGGAAGTCTCATGTTTACTGCCTTCTCACTATAAGCAGTGGATTTTTTGTGATCTCACATGCATTGATTTTTTGTGATCTCACATGCATTGGATTTTCTATTTACATTAGGAGTTCACCACTGCTTATTTGGTCAAACTAGAAATTTCTTGCACATTCATATTGACTATATCACAAATATTTGTATGCCAAATCAAAAATTTATATTTCGTAGTTCACAAGTGAAATCATGTGCGATTGGATTAGTCTTTGTGTACAGATCAATATTTGCTAACAGGAAACTATCTATATTTTTTATGATTCATATAGCCTATTTCGTATCTATATCTCTGGTGCTAAATTTGTGTTGTTTTCAAGTTCACACGTGAAATCATAATAATTTACCACTAGACATTAGCTTGAGCTAGTTAGATTAGTTTCTGGTGAACAAGCACAAATTATTTTTCTTAACCACAGTTCCTGCATGTCTTCTTAAAGCTTGAGGCTGCAACTGAATTGAATCTTCTTAGCTTAAGGAATATATCAGGGTTTTTATTTTTCATCTCAAGTGCTAAATGATTGTTGCTAAGACCTAATGAGCTACACAATGTAGTAGTACTTCATTTGTCACTACAGTATAGGCCTTATAATATCTGGAACTGTGATCCAGGATAGGTGCCTTCTTTCCAACAATTCAGCATGGTGCATATGCATACCATACAGCGCATGTCTAGTTTTTTTTTTTTTGCTAATAAATCTAGCCAGCTTACTTGAACTAGTACTCACTTACTTGGGTAGCCAATGAAATGATAATAATAATCGGTGCTGAGCTGTTTAGTGAGGCAACAATGTCACAAATGATATAGAAAACAGAGTAAGAACCAAGACGATTAGATTTGAGAGTCCACCTAAGACAACATGATATCACGCATGCCATTTTCAGCATCATGTATTACATATAGCATGGATGCCTCCTAAGTTTCCTATACTTAATCAGTACTAGTTAGACTTCAGTGTAACGCTAAGGCTGGTATCGTACTAGAATATGTGCATGTTCTAATTCATGCAGATTAGGAAGCTCTTCTGGTCCATCTTAATTTTTCCACCATGGTTTATCTATTACAAGAAAATGCCTTGCTTTAGATCAAGTTCTGGGAAGTGCAAATGTTTGATCATAATTGCAAACAATTGAGGTTTTTATGGATCACTCACTTCATTATGTAAGATAAGAAACCTTTTGCATGTACATATGCATTATCAATAATTAACCTAATTCTATGCTAGATTAAATATAATGGAAGGTTTATATGGTCACACATGACAATATCTATGACTAGGCTAGTTTGGTCGAAAATATTTGAGGTTTCTATGGTTCCCTAGGTTTTTTAGCACAAGTAGATCAAATTAGCAATACACAAAATTAAAGAAACACAATCTAATGTTTTTTAGCTTTTATTGACTATTGAATTTTTCTCTGAGACAAGCAATCAATTACTTCATGAATTTTATATTGCAGGTTTTTTAAGAAGCAACTGTTATAATGCCTGTGTACTTAATGGATGTGTTAACAAGTTGGCTCTGGGTCCTATGCAAATGAAGGTCAATGTTAGCAGCATCCCAAGTGTTTGGTGAATGGGGACCTATAATCAGATAGGAAAATATCCATGATAACTCATCCAGAAAAGCTGTGTTGCATGGTTGCAAACTACAAATGACATCCAAAGAGCCCTCAATGATGCAGATTTCAGTTCATCAGAAGGAAGCACTTTGATGCCTGAATCATCATTGCAGTTCTTCAAAAAATAAAGAGTGTATCTGCACCTTCGGGGGATCCAAATCTCCTCGTTGTGATCAACCTGTGGAGTGTTTCAGCCTGTTCGTTTGGTTGTGGCTTGTCGTAAACGATTGTAAATTTTCAGCTGAAATAATATTTTTCTCTCACACAAACCAGCCAGCAATACTTCTTCACGAACCAGCCAAAGTTGTGTGTGTGTTTCGGTTCAAGTTCTCCCAATCCCAAAGAGTAGGCCTACAGATTCTTTGTAACTATTAACGAACCAAATAGTACTATTTGTGATTAGCATCATGTACTATTACTGTTGACAGGATATGTTTGTGCCGATCAAATTAAATAATATTTACATTAGATAATGAATTATTATTGTTGGCAAGTAAAAAACAGCCAAATATATGCATTCCTGAAGGCCTAGCGGGAAAAAATGACAACATCAGGCTAGAAACAAAAAAAACTGATAGGAAACACACAAAAATCGCCGGAAACAAACATACGAGCATTTGGGCAATAGGCACGAAAGAAAAAAAATCAGCCAGAAATAAAAAGGCCAGAAACAAAAAAAAAAATCGGCCAGAAATAGGCACGGAAGAAAAAATTGCAAAAACATCGCTTCTGGGGCCGAGCGCGTGTGGTCTGCGGCCTGCGGGCGGGGGATGCCTCGGGTGCTGAATAATATTTAGTACCCAGGGTACTAGGGCAGTCTATATATATATATATATATATATATATATATATATATATATATATTAATTAGAACTTGACTTGACTTAAGCTT